AAAAGAGTTCTGAAATACCTGGTTAATCTTCTACCCTTTCTACTTGTAGGGAGGGTCTCTGTGTTGGTGAGAAAGAGAAGCTCAGACTCTTTATCTGTCCTTTTGGTTACCGCATTTGTGCTTTTGTCCCTTTTTTAGTTTCCATTTGGAGAGTAAACAGTGATGCTTTCAAAGTAAAATCACACACATTAAATAAATAACACATTAAAAAGAAAAGGAGCCAAGTGGTTAAGTACCCCAAAATGAAAATGGGGTTGAGGAGGTGGTCAACCTCTTTATTTTTCCTTCCCTTCTTTTAATTTTTTTATGTCTGCAATTCATGATCTGGAATTAGTTGGGGATAAACAAAAAACTGGAACTGCCTCTTCAATAGGAAGCAGAGCTGTAGCAGTTGCTTTACCCACATGCTAAGGTTTCCCAAAATAATACAGGAGGCCCTGCCAGCCCCACAGGTAAGATTCTTTTTTTTTTTTGAGATGGTGTTTCGTTCTTGTTACCCAGGCTGGAGTGCAATGGCGCAATCTTGGCTCACCGCAACCTCCGCCTCCTGGGTTCAAGCAGTTCTCCTGCCTCAGCCTCCCGAGTAGCTATGACTACAGGCACGCGCCACCATGCCCAGCTAATTTTTGTATTTTTAGTAGAGATGGGGTTTCACCATGTTGACCAGGATGGTCTCGATCTCTTGACCTTGTGATCCACCTGCCTGGGCCTCCCAACGTGCTGGGATTATAGGCGTGAGCCACTATAGCTGTCGTAATATTCTGGATGTGCCGTGTTGCATGGCAGCTTCCATTTCCTGTCTCTAAATCCTCTTGCTCTAAGAACCCACTTCCTTCTTATTTTTCCCAGGCTTGTTCTTTTTTCTTCTTCTCTTTAAAGTTTTATTTTATTTAAAAAAATTGACACATAATGCTTATACGTATTTATGGGGTACACAGTGGCATTTCAGTACATACAATATGTTGTGACCAAATCAGGGTCATTAGCATATCCATCTGCTCAAACATGTATCATTTCTTTTTGTTGTGAGCATTCAATATCCTCTTTCTAGCTATTTGAAACTGCGTAATATATAATTGTTGACTATAGTCACCTTATAGTACTATAGAATGCTAGAATTTATTCCTCCTATCTAGCTGTAAGTTTATATCTTTAATCCTTCTGTATCCCTCCCTTCGGTTACCCCAGCCTGTAGTATCCTCTGTCCTACTGTTTACTTCTATGAGATCAACTGTTTTAAGCTTCCACTTATGAGTGAGAACTCATGGTGTTTAACTTTCTGTTCCTGGCTTCTTTTCACTTAACCTAATATCCTCTAGTTCCATCCCTGTTGCTGTGAATGACAGGACTTATTCTTTTTTTTTAATGGCCGAATAGTATTCCATTGTGTAGCAGGCCTGTTCTGGGTCCTCTTCCTTCTTTGTCCTCTTGGGTTCTTTCCAAGCAGATGAGGCCTTCACATAGAAAAATAGATCTTCCCAAGCTGTAAACTCTACCAGTACTAACGTTCACTTAAAATCAAGAAAGAGGTAAAATGTCTTACTGTCCTTTTGTAACAGTTTGATTGTTTCTCTTCTTCCCTCCGCAAATCTTGTCTAAGAAGGGGCATAGAGAAAAATATCCTTGTATACTGACAGCTAAGATACGATGTTATTCTGCTTCCTATAAAATAGCTCTCCAACCTCAAAATAGGTCTTAAGAGAAGTGTTTTAAGAGGGAAGGATTATTTAAATTGAGTTTTAGAAACGAATATACGTTCTGTTTATTGATATCTTAGTTTCTTTGTTATTCATATTCTGTAACCTGAAAAGCTGTGCAGCTGTAGACAGGACTTGGCTACAAGATCCATCAAGGCAGAGATTGTCTCTTGTTTATCTCTGTATCCCTACAGTTTAATATAGTGCTTGGCACAGAGTAGGTGCTCAGTAAAAATTTAGTGAACAATGTAAGAAGCAACAAAACTGCTTAGTAGAAAGGAAATAGTTCACAAAAGTAATTACTTTTACAATAAAATAATTGACAAGCTTCATTACTTGATTTCCTTAGAAAATCTTGAGCTCTTTCCTAAGTTACAACCAGAGGAATTTACAGAATCTGAAGGATTTCGGATATTCAAGACAACGGTTGGAAGTAGGAATGGGATGGTAGAAGTAGGCCATTTACTGCAGAGAGAAGTAATGTGCTGAAGGCATAGCAGTCAAGAGTCACTAAAAGTAGAGACAATTGACTTGAAGGCTTAACAATATTGCCTAGAGGAGGAAGGACCACCTGAGCCATTGAACCCACAATCGCACCCTAAGTCATTGCAGTATAATATCCTGTGTGTATAATAATAGGTAAGTAATACTTATCTGTTTGCTAAAATAAACAGGTGTTTCCATGAAAAATTATTAAAATCTTAAACATTGTAGTGCTTAAATGTTTTTTTTTAATTCTAAAATGACACTATCATTCCTTGAAAGTGTGAGATAAGTAGTACTGACTAGATCCATAAAAGAGTTGATAATATGAGTCTTTACCCATGTTACTGACATATATCAGACATGCAAAATGGTGAAAATGTTGGATGAGGGACAAATAAAAGGCAGCATTTGTGTAGTTCAGCTCAGGTTGATACTCCAAGAATTAATACCTTAGTACACTTCTTGAGTACTTATGCTTCTCATTTTGCATCTGTCTCATGAAACGCAGTATATGGTAAACTGTGATCTTGAAGAAGCAATGTTTTTAATTAACGTTTTATTGAAGGATAAACATACAGGGAAGAGTACAAGCATCCAGATCAAGAAAAAGCATTACGAGAAAGAACCCCAGAAGCTCTCTGTGCCTCTTTCTCTTCCTGTCCTCCCCTCATCACTGCTGTAGAGCGCCGCCATCCTGATGTCTAACAGTAACATGGTTTAGCTGGAAGCAGTGGTGTTAACATTTTTTCTGTAACATTTTGGAGGTTTCTTTAATGAGCTTCAGATAAAGAGGAAAGAAGCATGACTATACACTATGGCCTTTGTTTGACTTGTTTCTCCTTCTGAATCATGCTTGAGGATAAGGATGATTGAATGAGATCAGAGTACTTGGATAGTCTCAGTTTGGGTCTCAAGTCCCATGTTTTTGGAAAAGATGGATGCTCTATGTGTTCTACATTTCTCTGTTTTGAGGAGGAACACAATTTTGTAGTGTCACTTTATTTTCTGTTTGTGTCCGGACTTCAAAGGGAATTGCCACCACTCCATTCAGAATGAAGTCCTCTCTACCTTTGATGTTGTCATCGATGTTAATTTATTATTAAATCAGCATGCTGCTTAGATTTATTCCCAGGATTTATGCAAGGTATGAAAAGGGAAATGTTTTCCCTACTTTACACATTCATAATTAGCTATTTAGAATTAACTGTTTGGGCTTTCAGAATTAATTATTCATGAGGTATTTGACTTAATTTTCTGTATATGACAGAGTGATCAATAAGAGGTGCTTTGGATGAAATTTTCCAAACCACTGGCTTTGTATTGTAAATCTCAGCCTGTAACATTTTTGCATTCCTAAAAAGTTTCTTAGGATTTTAGTCAAATTCTTGTATTTTCCTATTTATAAATTGAGTTGACTCTTAAGCTTTTGCTGTTTAGAGAAGTGAAAGAATGTGTGTGTGTGTGTGCACACACGCATGCACGCCTTTCAACTGTGGAAGTTACTATTTTGGGGACTTTCTGAGTCAAAAAATGTGTCCATTCAACAGCTGTCTTGTTGCCTTGCTAACAGGTTTTCAAAAGATTTGTCTGAGGTTCCAGTTTTCAGACTAAGAGTCTTGATCCTCAGCTGGGACTACTGATTAGGAGTTTATCTGGTATAATTTTATATATTGTTTATTTTGACTAGTTTTTTAGAATTGTGGTAAAATGTACATCATATAAAATTTACTATTTTAACCACTTGTAAGTGTTCATTTGGCCATTTTATTTTTAGAACTTTTATTCATTTATAGCATTTCTAATCAGCAACTAGTGAGGATCACCAGTGTGCCTTGAGGTAGGGTTGCTAGATCATTGATCATCGGAAAATTATCAAAGAAGTGTAAATAAAGTTTCTGTTCTCAAGATCCCTGTTCTTAATCTCAAAGAGGTTGAGCCTTCTTGTTTCATTAGAGAAGCAAGATATATACACACCAGTTAAACGTTGCTTCATGGTAGATGGGGCCCAAATGTTCAAGGAAAGCTTTGTGTAAAGGTGAGACTCATTTTTGGTTTTTAATCAGGGGCAGGATCTGTCTAGTTTGAGAGGGACAAAATTTTAACATATGTAAAGATTTTTATTTACTTCTTATTTTGGGTACAGTACAATGCATTATTTGGGAGCAGTGGTGAACAAAATGGGTGTTAAGCCCATTGTCTTTTACAGAATCCTTTCCTTTTAAAATAAGCTGAATATTCAGATGAGGGAACATATTCTTGTCACATAATTAATATTTTTATTTTCTTTTTTTTCCTGTAAAATAAAAAGCATAATTAATATTTTTAAAAGTCACAGAAACCAAATTTATTTAACTTGTGTTATAGACAGTATTAAAAATTCAGATTTACATGGCAAGAGGTTAAACTTCCTATTAAAATTACATGCAAATATCTGTGTTCATGCAGCATTAAACTTTTCAATGTATTACCTCTTGGGAGTAAGTATTTCATTAGTGAGTTTAGAACAATTGTAGTTATAGTTTTTATGAAAAATAATTGTATAAAAATAAGCACAAAATGAAATACATATTTATTGAAATTAATCTTGAATGTCTGCTACACTGAAATTAGGTAAAAAGTTTAGAATGGGGGTGTATTGTGGATGAAGATTGAGTTATTATTAATTCTGAATAATATTATTCCAATGCTTAATGGCAAAAGATGGTGCCCATTTTGTTTATGTCTGTAATGGTTCAAGGATTTAATCTGGGCTACATGTAATGTCTTAAAATAAGATTTAAAAAGTTCAAACCATTTTTTCTCTTCTTATATCTGCAGACAGACAAATGTACATTGGGGACCACCATGTTCACGTGACATCAAGAGGAAGCGGAAACCAGCGGCCACAGCATCTTTGTCTAGCCCCAGTGCAGGTGATTACATGCAGTTGTCATTTACTGAGCATGTACCATGTGTCAGGCACTAAATTATGTGTTTTGTATACCTTTTCATTTAATCTTTGTGATAGTGTAGGTCATTTTATTCCCATTTTACATGGGAAAACTGAGAGTATAAGAAATAATTAGCCTAGTTCTCACTGACTCTGAAGTCTACACTTTTTCACTGTTATGTGGCTTTCTAGAGTTTGAAACCCTATATTCCACTGTCCGCAATCTCCAGTCATCTGAGCTTTTGTTCTGTCACAGACAGGTCCATGTTAATGAAAGTCCAGATGAGGTGGCAGTTCAGTCAGCAGTCAGGCAGTCACATAGGGTTATTTACTTTCTTCTTTTGCAGACAGTACAGTACATTCTTACTGCTTTTATGTATAAGTAGAATGCTAATATTTTACTGGTCATGACATTTTTAATTAAAAACAACTTTTGAGGCTAAAACTTTTCAGTTTTTTTTTTTAGACAAAACTGACACTAATCAGTAGAAGTGAAAAAGTGGCTCTCTTTGGTCAGGGGTAGTAACCAAGAGAGGGCACAAAGAAGCCCTCTGGGCTGTTGGCAGTGTGCCATATGGTGAACTTGGTGGGGGTGTATGGCTGCTTAGGTATGTGGAGTCTGAAGCTGTACACTTAGGATTGATGTCCTTCACTGTGTGTATGTTATCCTTCAGTGAACAAAAGTGGAGAGTTATGTATTTATTAATATATCAGTGACAGACTGGATACTGAATATATCATCAAATATTTTATTTTCTTTAGTAGAAAATACTACCTATTATGTAGATCAGAGCAGTTGATACTGAATAGAGAGTAAACCGCAGACAGATGGGGAGGGAGCCCTGTCCTCTGCCTTGACTTAGTGAGTTTTGGTGAACTCTGAAATTGTCCTCCTTGATCTTCTGTTTGGGATGTCTGCTTGATGGTGGTTCATATTGGACAATCTTCATCACAGGTCTGATGATTGTAGTACCCCCTTTTTTTTTTTTTAGTGCCAGCTCAGTGGCCAGGCCCAGAGCTGAACACTTTGCAAACATTATTTCACATAATCTTTGCAACAGCCTTAAAAGGTAGATGCTGTTTTTATTCCCAGTTTACACATGTGAAAACCAAGGCTTAAATCACTTCCCTAAGGCCATGTGGTTGATAATTGCAGAGCCAAGATCAGACCAGTTTCCCTGTGACTCTAGAGCTGTCCTCGCGAACACTGCAGGTGGTGTTCTTTTTACATACAACCGGCTTGAGTCCAAACTGTGACTCCGCATCAACACTCAGATCCTCATTCAGTCTATAGCATTGGAAGCATGAAAAGAAAACCACCCCTCTTTTATCTTTTTGTTCGTTTTTTCTCCCTAATATCTTGCTTCTACTTTTAGCTTTTAATTATTTATAAGAGAGGAACCATTGGGAAGAGTTTAAAATCCTTATTTCATATTCAGGTTGGGAAATGTATGTGTGTGGGGTGGGCATTAAACAAGACTTGAGCATTAAACATTTCCCCTCCTGAGCCCAGCTCCTCTCCTCTCACTTGTTGACTAAGGCCTGCTTCACTGAGCATTTTTTTTTCTACCCACAACCTGAGTGCCCCATGGAGGTGAAGGACATAGCCTGAGCCTGTGCCATCAGTCAGTAGAACAAATGGGCTTGCTCTGCCTAACATCGGGCCATCTCGGATTCCACCTCTTTTATAGGAATGAGTGATGAAGAGAGGTGCGTTCCGCTTTGCCGCTGTATTAATACACATCAGGGGCCAGCTCCTGGCACTAAATCACGCTACTGCATACATCTGTTATCGGACTCTTCACCAGTGTGATGAACAAGACTGCAGATAGTGGCTTCCTTGTGTCATTCTTTATAGGATTTTCCTAAAAGAATAAATAGCTCAGATCTCTGCCAACACTCTCCCCTGTCATTGTGATGAATTCAGCTTCTTTCTTAAACATGCAGCCACAAATCTTTTCCCTTTTTCCCCTCCCCCACTGGCAGAAAGTTTTGAGTTGAAATTGACTGAATTTAAAGATATTAATAAGGCTAGAGAGGTGAAGAACAGGAAGAAACACCGTGTCTTCCTTGTCTCTTTGTACTAATAGTAACAAAAGGCCAAGGAAAAAGACTGTAAATGACCATAGAGTTCTTAAATAGACCCATCTTGAAAGTGCAGCACCTTTCATTTTCTTTTTATCTTCATTCTCCTCTCCTTTATGGCTTTATAGCATGCAGGTGTCTAGTGCACAGACCCACAGCCTGGATTTTAGTGAGCAAGCATGCTAACCCGCTTCTAAGACTTGGTACGCTAGAATAGGATGTCCCAGCAAGTGTCTCCCTCATGCTGAAGTGAACTAGCTGAGTATGCTCTTAAAGAAAGTACTCAGAAGCTGGGCGTGGTGGCTCATGCCTGTAATCCCAGCACTTTGGGAGGCTGAGGCAGACGGATCACGAGGTCAGGGGTTTGAGACCAGCCTGACCAACATGGTGAAACCCCATCTCTACTTAAAAAATACAAAAATTAGCTGGGCACTGTGGTGCGCACCTGTAATCCTAGCTATGTGGGAGGCTGAGGCAGGAGAATTGCTTGAACTCGGGAGGTGGAGGTTGCGGTGAGCCAAGAGTGCGCCATTGCACTCCAGCCTGGGCAACAGAGTGAGACTCCGTCTCAAAAAAAAAAATATGTACTTGGAGAAGAAAAAAAAATCAATTATTTTCTCCAAAATTTGAGGCTAAGTAGCTGTAAAAAACATAATAAACCCAGATGAAAACCAGACTTTGTTTTCTTGAAATGACTTTCTTCATCAGAATGGTAGGTTAGAGCATGCAGATTCCAATCCTTAAAAAAGTAAACACATGGCTTTTGATAAAGGGGAATTGAGGTGACCGGAAATTCTGTTGAGAACCCAGCTATTTGTGTGAATATATTTTAGCTATCCCAAAAGCTTTTTCTGACCTTTCTCCTTCTGGAGTAGGATATGTGTGCTCAGAGTATCATTCGGAAGGGTACCTAATAGTTAATCTGTTAATTAGTTACATCAGATTTCAAATACTAGGTCAGTGATATAAGAGAGACACACAGAGAGAGGAGATTTGAATTGCCAAATGTATTATCAGATGCATTCATAAGAGCAGGACTGTTTATCCATTTTGCTCACTACTGTACCCCTAGTACCTAAATGAATACCTAGCCCAGAGAACAAACCCACTAATTATTGTGTAGGAATAAATTTATAGAATCTTAAAGTTGAAACAGAATAATTTCTGATACATTCTAACCACATGGTTGGATTCAGTAGTTCCATTTAGGATGTTCCTTTTCTCAGGAGTCATAGTACAGATTCTTATTGCCCACTATCTTTTTAAAGCTTAAAGGTTTTTTAAAATTAAACATGTTTCTTAGTAAATATTGAATGGGTATAAAAGAACATTTATAGCAGATATGTAAGGAGTAAAGAAAAACAGAACAGCAAATATCCATGTACCTACCATTCACTTTGAGAAAAAGTTAAAATTTTCATTTTAAAAAAGTTTAAAAAGTTAAAATCTTCTTTAAAAATCTTCTCCCTGTTCTATTCAGAGGTAAAAGTTATTCTGATTGTTTTTTTGTTTATTGTTTGTCATTATTTTGTTTCTTTCAAGTAGTTTTAGCACACATATGTATCTTTAAGCAATAAATTGTCTAGTTTTGTGTTTTTGAACCTTGTGTATATGCAATCAAACTATGTCATATTTTATGTTACAACTTTCACCCAGTTCTATTTTGAGATTCATTCCTATTTTGTCCTGCCAAAATCTATTTTTTAACTGCCATGTATATGGTATTCCATTATATGAATGTGATTAATATACTATAATTAAATGTTCTTGATGGACATTTGGATTTTATTCCTGTTTTATGCCATTATGGGAAATACTGCACTGTTCTCTGGGAGAACAAGTGCAAACATTCTTCCAGGCCACTTCGCAGTCATTAGGATGGCTGTATCAAAAAACGGAGAACATCAGGTATTGGTGAGGATGTGGAGAAATTGGAACCCTTGAGCAGTGCTTGTGGGAAGGTAAAATCATGCATTGCTATAGAAAACAGTATGTAAAAAAACAATTCCTTAAAAAATTAAACATAAGACCACCATATGATCCAGCAATTCTCTTTCTGTGCATATACCCAAAAGAATTAAAAGCAGAGACTCAAAACAGGTTTGTGTCACCTCTGTTTGCAGCAACATTATTTGCAGTTGTCAAGGTAGCAACAACTCACATGTCCGTTGCTGGATGAATGGATGAATAAAATGTGCTATATATGTACAATGGAATATTATGTAGCTGGAAAGCCTTTCTTATTCAGAGTGAAATTACCATGTGCTACAACATGGATGAAGACATTTGCTAAGTGAAATAAGTCAGACACAAAAGGGGAAATATTGTGTGATTCCACTTTTATAAGCTACCTAGAAGAGTCAAATTTATAGAAACAGAAAGTAAAATGGTGGTTGCCAGGGGGTAGGGTAAGAGGGAAATTGGGGGAAGTTATTGTTTAATGGGTACAGAGTTTCCATTTGAGATGATAAAGAAGTGCTGGTGATAAATAGTGGTGATAGTTATACAACAGTGCGAATGTACTTAATGCCACTGAACTGTACGCTTAAAAATGGGCAAAATAGCAAATTTTATGTATATTTAACTGCAATAAAAAAATAGCAAAAAAAAAAAAGTTTTTTTAGGGTGGGGCTTTTTTTTACTGAGGTTTGATGACCATGTAGTAAGGCCCTCAAGAAACACACACACGCGCACACACACACACAGCTAACTAGGTATACACACTGTAGAGTAATAGCTTTCAAGATATTTTTACATTAACCCACAATAAGAAATTCATGTTTAAATATGTGTGTTGGTTGTACATGTAAATCTGAAATAAGTCTTGGGTGCACTCTGATATTTTCTATTTTTTTTTCATTGAGAAAAAAAGTAATGGTCATGACCCACTAAATTGATTCTATGACCCACAATTTGAAAATTATTGTTCTAGGTTACATTCCTGGGAGTGAAATTATTGGGTGACAGGGTAAAATTCAAACTTTCCTAGATTTTGCCGTATTTTAGTATATGTTTGTTCTCAGCAGAATGGGTAGAGATGATGGTGGTTTGTGCCACTCTTCTCAGGGGCATTTGGAAATGTGAAGTAAATGTTGGTTTGTCACAATGATTGGGGAATGTTCCTGGTATTCAGCAGATAGGATCCAGAATGGAAAGTGTTCTGAGGTACACAGGTCAGCCCTGCACAAGCCATGTCTCCTGTCCAGAATGTCTTTAGTGATCTTATTGAAAAATACTGGGCCTGATTGTGCTCTTTCTACCATTTTTGATAGTGGTAACGCTGCCCTATTGGAGGCATGGGTTGTGGAAGGAAGAGCGTGGGGTTTCGAGTCCAGTACCTGTGTTTGAATCTTGATATCTAACCAGCTCTGTTTTATCCCTGAACAATTTATCTGATCTCTCTATACCTCAGTTCCCTGATCTAGAAAGTGGAGATGACTACCAGTAAGCGTTTACATTAACAAATAAGATCATGAGTATTCATTATTTAAGCAATAGGCACATAAATATTTAATAAGTGATTTTTACTACATTATGAATGTGTGCCACTGAATTTATTTGTTCAATTGAACCCATTTTCTCAGATTAGGAAATACTATCTTATTTAAATCTTGTCTTCACTTTTTTGTAGAGAGAAAAGAAATACCTTATGTGGCCCCTTGGGTTACTAGGACATGAAGTATAAGGATTAAGAAAATTTTGTTTCTAAGTGTCTCTAATTTGTCTTATTTTAATTTCTCTCCCCTTGATTTTCTTGCTCCTCTCTATTGTAACCTTACTAGTTCACATGGATGCAATGGAGCCAGCTACACCAGCGCCACAAGCTCCGAAATCACCCAGCTCTGAGTGGTTGGTCAGGACCCCTGCAGCAGAGAAAGCCACAGTCCCAACTACTGCTACATTTTTTAAAATGCCACAGGAAAAGAGCCCTGGATACAGCTAGAGAGCAAGACTCCACCCTCCAGGAGTTGCTGAAGCAACTGTTGGACTTCGTGTTAGTCTTTCATATCTTAATCGACATTCCTAGTCCTTTCACCACCAGAACCAACTCCTTTTCAAATGCAGCAGTGGACTCTTTCTCTCAGAAGATCACGTTGTGGGAATCTTTTTTTTAATTAGTGAAGTATTGAGGCAGCAATTTTTTACAAAACGTCATCCTCTGCTCTATTTGTTACCTTGTTATTGCTGTCTCAATATTTACTACAGCCCCATTGACAGAGCTGTTGCTTTTTCGCAGTTGTCTTTGTTCTTGAAAAACCAGTTACTGCTTTTGCATACCTTTTGTGTAGAGCTTTTAATATCATTTGAGGAAGTTCCAAACTTGTAGCCAGTTCCAAACAAATGTAACTATGGAGTTGAGGCCTGTATGGAATTGTGTCTGTAGGAGATAAGGCTTGCCTTTGAGCCTACTCTTGATTCACACAGAGTGCCAATAAGATAAATCAACCAGGCTCTCAGTTTGGAGCCTCAAAAGAGACACCAGCAACTGGGCCTTGAGAACTTCCATTTTTCTGCAGATGGTCTGCAGAAACTCAGACAGCTCATCAGCAGCAGCAGCTGTATTGTATTTTACCTCATCTTCAGAGTTTATGTTCTACTGAAAGAGGATGTGTGTATACACACATGTACACACACAGAGATTGGTTTAATGGAGAAGATGATTTAGGTGTACAGCACATTTAAAATAGGCAGTGGCTTGTGTCTTACTATTTCATGTCCCAGTGTAAGCCTTTATGTCCTAAGCAGGACTTTATTAGTATTATAGGTTAATAACCTGCAGCAGAAACTCACACTCTATTATAATAATGGCTTCTTGGGGCCATGCTTTGGGGAGGTAAAATGTCTTTTTGACAGGCCTTTATACGTGGTGTGTTTATGATGGCTCAGCTGCATGTGGAGTTATATATACAGTCGTGCCTGAAGTTGGATGCTACTTTGTCAAAGTGAGAAATAAGTGATGGCCTGGAGCTGCTGGAGAGAAGCCATGCTTTCTGAAGAGTATTATCAAGCGTGTCTGTCATTCATTCAGGGGCCTGGATGACAGAAGGGCTCTTTTTTTATACCAATGAGTGCGTTTACTCTGAAATGCATGGAAGCTCTTTGCGAAGTGCTCCCTGCTCTGGTCACATTGTAGAGGGATTCCCACTCATGTACCTGCTTATTTTCTGTCTTAAATAGTGCTGAATGGGGCAGTGCCTCCTTCCCCTGAAGTGTGATGTGTTGCTTTATCATGGTCCCTTTTAAAATGATAGTTCTTATCAATGGAAACTCCACATTTCTTTATTGATGAAGTAGGGAGGTGGGTGGGAGGAACTAGTTGGAAAAAGGGACTTGAAGCTAAGTTTCCATGGCACTTTATGTAAGACTGAGAACATGTCAATTGTTCATAATCAGAAATGTGGTAGAGGGAGGTGCAGGTAGAGATGATGGGGTGGGAGAGTGCTGAAGCCAGCCCAGCATGCCTCTAAGTCGTCCCTGGTTCTCATGCAGCAGTGTGCTTCCCTTCCCTGTGGGCCACACCCCACAGGGCATAGAAAATAGAATGTCTGTTGAATATAAAATGGTACCACTGAATTGTTTTAGTGATGAGGTTAGATTTTATTGTCATGTGCATTGTCACCATAGTGACCTATGGCATATATTTTTAACATACTTGGTTGGGGTTGAGAGAAATGTAAGGACATAATTTTTTCTTGTGTCAGGCTCTGTGACTCCTGCAGCAATTGGTCCCATGGTCGCGGCTTATTAGTGAAAACCTCCAGAGGTCAGGTGGCCAAGGTGTTCCCACATATTTTCTATATAACTTATTGCCTAATAATCCTCTTTTCTGCCTATGATTAAAAATAATTTTTATATACAACATTGCTTACATTTCAAACATCTCTACGAAGTCATGCCATTTTAAGAAGATGAAAACAGTCACAGAGTTGAGTGACTTGTTCCAAATCACATAACTAAGCCAGGCCTAGAACCCCAGATTTTTAGAGTTTCTCTGCCCTGGGTTATAATCTCTTGTTTAGCAGTGATAGACCTGATTCAGTCGGAGATGCTTTTTAATGAAACAGTATACCATGAATATTTATTATCTTTCTCAAGCATGCTTTTCTACACATTTTGAATACTTTCAACAGGGATCACCCAAGAATGCAACATCTACCTGTAATAAATGGGGAGAAAGTTAGTTGCCTGAGAGAATAGAATATTAAGCACACAAATACTTTCCAACACAGGGTTGTAAATTGCACTCCTCATTTTAAGGTGCTGTATGTGCATGTTTAAGGAATTATTAATGTATTCTGCTTGCTTTCTGTATTAACCTGTTCCAGAGGATAGCCTTAGAATTGAGTGTATTTTGAATCTTAAAATTTAAAGTTTCTTTATATGTGGCACAGTGTATAATGTCATAAATTAAGAAAAATCTATAATCTTTCAAAGAAGTTATATAGTTTCAAAAATCAGGTTTTGTAATCTGTTGAAGAAACTCTGAAATATGACTTGCTTTTTTGAGGATGATGATCCTTGAGCTCATGTATTTGATCTGCTCAAAAGTAGTAACTAAAGCTGAGTTAAACAGTTTTTATTTATTTCAGGGTTCTGATTTATCCCAGCTGCCTATACAAATGGCCTGTGTGAATCCTAATCTTGTGTGTTTTCCACGATGGGCAGAAGTCGAAACATTATCTGCTTCTGTAAGGATCATTAATAAAAAATTAGTTTTAATTATGAGTTTAAGGGAAGTTTAGGTTATTTTTGAGATGCCGTATTTTAAAGGAACAAAACTCTCCTGTTGCCTTTTGTTGTGGTTTTTGTTTCCTAGAGAAAGGCTCTTGATCTGTCACTCGGACTAGAGTACAGTGGTGTGTTCATAGCTCACTCTAACCTTGAATTCGTGGGCTTAAGCCATCCTCCTGCCTCAGCCTCCTGAGTTGTGAGGACTACAGATCTGTGCCTCCACACCTGGCTAATTTTTCAAGTTTTTGTAGAGATGGAGTCTTGCTCAGTTGCCTGTGCTGGTCTTGAATTCCTAACCTCAAGCAATCTTCCTGCCTTGGCCTCCCCAGGTGTTGTAATAGGTGTGAGCCACCATGCCCAGCCTTGTGTTGCCTCTTGGTAAGAACTAGTAAGAGGAAATTAGTAGCTTGTTTACCTGGTTCCAGATTTGGAGGGTGCTGAGTATAATTTTTACTGAGTGGTATGTGGTTGGAAGGTAGGCCCACATTTAGCTTTGAATTGTTTAGAAATCAAGTGTGATTCAAAATTTCAAAGGACATTGTTTTGCTGGGCTTTGAAATAGGCTACTAACAAGGCTATTTTTGCAGCAAAATGGCCAAAATCTGAAATAAATCTATTTAGTCTGTGATGCTTGTAGCATCGTTTGTTAAGTAAAACACGACACCTAGGACAAGTAACTAAAGTAGTTAGGACTTCCAAATACATTTGCTATAGCCTTGAATTTTTGCATTTTGGAGTTAGAGACACTGTGGCTATATCTATATACCTATAATATAGCCTGGGAAGTTCTGTTGCTGCAGAGTTATCATTAAAGTTAATTGGAATTGAAAAAGATACAGAGTGTTGAGAGAAAGGAACTAGGCTGGTGCAGTCATTGCTGATGTGATGGGTTCTCCACTTTGACTCCAGGCAAAGGCTCCTGGTGATACATGGTTCATTTCAGGTCTTTGTTTTATTTTGGCTTCATTGCTGTGGTTCTAAGCCACACAGGTATTTTCTTCCTGCAGAGAATACTATGTAAAAGTCTCAGCGTTAGAAGCTGTATTCAGTGTCCTGTATGTCTTATGAACCTTATCTGAGCTGAGCTGAGAGCAGAGTGGCTTACTCTAGCAGCTGTGGATGCAGTCTAGTCGGAGGCATGGCTTGGAGGATGTCATGGTTCATGGGATGGTTGGAGGGATGGTAAAAGCAGTTAGCTCTTGTCAGCTGCTTCCTCTGCTAGTGCTTGAGCTGCCAATTTTACCTGTCAGTATTTCCTTAACTCCCACTCCTGTTGTGAAAGGTCACAGAGTAATTGTCACTGGCAACAGTTTCTCCCCATTAGAAGAAAACTGGTACAGAGGGAAAAGGTGAGGAACACAGTGAGTTCCATCACTCAAAACTAAATGCAAGTGGCACAGAGATACTTTCTCCTATGCTAACATCTCCAAAAGATGAACATCAAATGCCTAGAAATAGCAGCATCAAAAAGAAAGCAGATGAGAAGTATTGTTGGAGTATGGACTACGAGGTTTTTAACAAGCCCAGCAAAAAAAACTTACGGCCCAAAGAAGAACTATTTCTACCACTGCAAGTAGACATCATAAATGCTTGGTAAAATTGCCAGATTTAGGGAATAAAACATTGTCAAGTATTGAAGAATGAGGCATATCCTGAAGACATTCAGCAAAGAAGCAAGTTTGGCAAGGTGGAGAAGTGGAAAGCAGTGGGAAGAGAAAGGGAGATACCCAGAGCAGGAATTCTCCAAGTGTTGCCCCTAGGCTGGCACCATCCATACCAGACCTACTGAATCAGAAACGCAGGGCAAGGCCCAGCCCCGCTCCTGGGGCTCTGGTGCATACTCAGGTTTGAGAACCATAGGCTTTGCCACAGCCAAAATGTTTTAATGGGCTGGTCTCTTCCTAAGTGCTGAGGTGCTCTCATATTCCCTCCATAAGTTAAGAGATGTTTTTTGTGGGCCGGGCGCAGTGGCTCACACCTGTAATCCCAGCACTTTGGGAGGCCGAGGCGGGCAGATCATGAGGTCAGGAGATTGAGACCATTCTGGTCAACATGGGTAAACCCCTGTCTCTACTAAAAATGCAAAAAATTAGCTGGGCATGGTGGCGCGTGCCTGCAATCCCAGCTACTCAGGAGGCTGAGGCAGGAGAATTGCCTGAACCCAGGAGGCGGAGGTTGCAGTGAGCCGAGATCACGCCATTGCACTCCAGCCTGGGTAACGAGCGAAACTCCGTCTCAAAAAAAAGTTTTTTGTATACTTCTTTGCAGAAACTGTTAATGTCTTTATTTCTGTTTTTTCCCCTACAAGCTCCTGAAAGATCTCTTGGAAAAATTGACAAAGGATGCTATCAAGGCTATGTTTATATGGATGGAAATAACCTTTTGAAAATGGGTAAAGCTTGGCTGTGGTGACTCATGCCCATAATCCCAACACTTTGGGCAGCCAGGGCAGGAGGACCGCTTTATTGCAGGAGTTGAAGACCAGCCTAGGCAACATAGTGAGACCTTGTCTGCAAAAAATTTTAAAAATTAGCTGGGTGTGATGGGCACATGCCTGTGGACCCAGCTACTTGGGAGGCAGAGGCAGGAGGATCACTCAAGCCCAGGAGGTTGAGGCTGCAGTGAGCCATGATCTGGCCACTGCACTCCAGCCTGGGTGACAGAGTGAGACCCTGTATCAAAAAATCAATAATAAGTATGGATAAAAAGATAACAATTGTTAGTCTATGAATGATAGTCATTTTTCACAATTGAAAGTAAAAATATGATTTGTGTAAGGTATGAATTTATCATATTTGTTTATTAGCTCTTAGTTTGAAGGGAAAGTATCATGTATTTTTCAGCATGATAATGATGAATCATTTAAAATATGGCTCATAAAAATGAAAAAAATACTGGCAGAAAAAAACCACCTTGGGTACATAGATGTGTAATAAATACCTGTTGAGTTATTGGTAATCTTTTGCTAAGACTGAGTCTCAGTACTTCAGAGCATGTAAAAATCAATTTCCTGTGATCCCACTTAATCACACCCTGTTGTCTTTGTTTTAGATTTCAGCCAGCGATTCAGCAGGGGTTGGGGGCCAATAGCAACTCATGCTTTTTTTGTTGTTCGTGTCTGACTCATGGATTCAGCATTTCAGAATATGGTACTCTAATCTTAAGGCTTTGAAAAGAAATTGTGGCCATTTTTTCTTTATATTTTATTTAACTGGTTGCTGAAACCTGGAAACCCATGTTCTGTCTTTTCAGGGAATATGCATAGCTAAAGAGTTCATTGTGTCTACAGAGGTATAGGAGTTCTCATTTCCTCAGATGCCCATGTGTGTAGGCTGTTAAGCTTTCATTTCAGTGTTTGCAATCTATTAAAACACCATCCAATTTTTCTTTTCCATCTTGAAAACCAGTTAAAACTACCTCTGGCCAAAAATGTTATTGTTATTGGATATTATCAAGGTATGAGACTAAAAAAGTTAGAAGGCTTTAAGATATAAATGATATAAGTTAATGTTTTCTTTCTCTAAAAGCTCTGACCCTTACTGACCCCTTATTAAAAATTTTTTTGAAAGGGGAAAGAAAATATCAGAGAACTTAAAAATGGCCTTTGTGGCTTTGCCTCAAAATCAACACATTTCATTATGTATAGATGCTATACCTTGCTTCCTCAAGCGGGCCATGAAAAAAAATCTCTTGACCATGCAGACTGATACCACCCCAAAATCATGGTAACGATTTGAATTGCTCTCCATATTGATCTCAGTTAAATTCCTGCCTGTTGTCAGCAGCTGTTGCAAACTGGCTGTTGTAAACCCTTTCTACCCGGACCTCTCTCCAGCTCCGCAGTTCATCTCAGCCCCCACCACATAACAGCCTCAGGCAGAACTTCCCACCTAGACACCCTCACACACACCCTTCCTCACCTTCTTGTCAGTGCCTGTCCTGCCCAAGACAATCCCTTTTCCTGTGCCCTATGCCCTCTCCCTTGATAGATGACTTGATCTAGATACAGCCTCACATACAGCTTTGCATTTAAAAAAGGTTCAAAGACTTCTGCTTCAAACAAAAATACCTTTCCTTAGCCCTTTGAAAGCCTGACTACTACTAAAGTATACTACTCTGTCCATTGTGCAATCCACCGAAGCAGTAGTTTTTAACCCTGCTACACATCAGGATCACCTGGGCAGCTTTAGTAAGTCCTAATTCCTGGGTTGGCGCACTGGCTCGCACCTGTAATCCTAGCACTTTGGGAGGGCAAGGTGGGCAGATCACAAGGTCAAGAGATCAAGACCATCCTGGAGAACATGGTGAAACCGGTCTCTGCTAAAAATGAAAAAAGCTGGGTGTGGTGGCACGCACCTGTAGTCCCAGCTACTCTGGACGCTGAGACAGAATTGCTTGAGCCCGGGAGGTGGAGGTTGCAGTGAGCTGAGATTGTGCCAGTGCACTTCAGCCTGGTGGCAGAGCAAAACTCCATCTCGGAAAAAAAAAAAAAAGAAAAGTCTAATTCCTGGCCTGGACCTCAGACCAATTACATCAGCATGGGAAAGTGGGGACAGGCTTCGGTCTTTAAAAAAAAGTGCAGCTGTGGCAGAGAACCTCTCTAAAACTCTAAAACTGCTACCCTTGTCACTGTTAAAACTGTTCTTGCTGGGTTCACCAGTGACTTCTGCCAAAATTTAGCCCTTAGGTTGATTTTTATGATACTGATGCTATCTAACCACTTTCTTTGGAATGCTCCCCTTCCTGACCCGACTTTTCTGATTTTTCTCCCACTACTTTGCTCTTTCTCAGTTCCTCTAGGTTGTTTGGTACGTCAGTCTAGCACAGACTGGATGTCGGCCTCTGCCACCACCTCCGTTACTTCAGTGAACCCCTGTTTGCCAGTGAGTTCCTTTGCCATACCACTTTAATGCACTAATACAAAAGCACAGGTTAGAGTGAAGCATTCATGTTCGTTAATCACTGCAGGCTTCTGGGAAAGCGTACTCAAGGTCTTGATCCTTCTCTCACCTCCCTTGTTCCTCCTCCAAGCCCAGTGAGGTAGGAGGAATTGCTGTTGAGATTAGTGAGAGTCTAAGGTGGATCACTGCTGTCTATTTATGAATTGCTGTTTATGAAAAGATGGCCTGGACCGTGGTCCCTCTTCAGCTTTCTCCTTTTCAGGGTCTTGGACTGGAAAGGAGGCCTGTGCCCAAAAGAGGCTCCTCTACCTAATGCTGTCTTCAGCCTGTGGCTTTCTGCTGCTGATAAGATTTCAGTTTGGCTTCCTCATCCCTTTTCGGCCTTGAGCTTCATGTTGATCTTTATCAAAGAACTTTTTATTGGGGCATGAGCACTAGCCCAGTTAATACAATGAAACTTGATTTCCCCGTCTGCTGTCATCATTGCATGCTGCCCCTGGAACTGGATATAGAGTTCCACTTTCATCAGAAGCAACCCTGTGTGTTCCTGACGTCTTTGAACCACTGGTTTCTGATTCAAAATATGGGGTAGGTAGATCTGATTAGTAGTTATATGCCTGTGTCCTAGCCTTAGGAAGTCAGAATGAGATTTTCTGGAAAGCTGAGCTTCTATTAGGGATGAATACATTCCTCACACATGGGAAGGTACTTCAGATGCTGGACAGCCAATAAGAATAACAAAGGTCCACCAGAGCCATTCCCCCAGTCACTGATTCACTACACATTTACTGAACACTGATTAAGCCAAGTTCTCAAGGACCTCTTAGGGAAGAGGGTAACTGCCCTAAAGCAGGATGCTCATGAGCTCCTTAGATACACTCTCCTTGAAACTATTAGGCCCCTGTCCAGAGTCCCTAATAACAATAATGGCAAATATTTACTTAGTGATCTGCCATTTGGAAAAAACATCTCACTTATTCAACAGATCTAAGGTAGGTACTTTTATCTCCATTTAAAAACAATGAAAGATGCTTACGGTTATAGACAAACTTGGTTAAGTCACAGAACTATTAAGTGTCAGTCAAGATTCAGATTCAAGTCTGTTTGATGCTAGAATGTCTGTTCCCAACTAATACCTCTGCCGCCTCTTTTTACAAACTGAAGTGTTGAGGGCATGTATGTACGTGTAAGTTGTGGGCCACTGGGCCCTGGGTCAGTGTCTGATGAGACCTCTTTATTGTTTCTCCTGGTGGGCTGTTTCTCTACCAGGCAACTGTGAATGGGCTCATCCCTTCTCTGTGCCTACATCATTGAACAGAGGTAGCCAGTTTCTGTGACATCCTCTTAAAACAGCGGTTTTGTTCTTGAGAATGACCAGCAAGAGAAAAGTCAGTGAAATCTTGCAAACCTATGGGAATAAAAAGGTATTGTCCCTTGTGTACCAAGGCACAACGGCTTCCTTAGCGAGGAGGATATATGTTAAGAGATGTTAATGGTAGTGATATACTGTTTTCAACATCTTGGTAAACATTTCTTTGACTGTTAGCAAAAGCTGCCTTAGCAATCTTGGCTTATAGAAATATCCCTTCATCTGTAGATGTGTATAGAACACATTTTATGCCACGCACTCTGCTAGGAGCTGGGTATACAGAGAAGAAAGTCATTCTTGCTCTCATGATGTCCATGGTCCTCTCAGGAAGAGACAAGAAAAGCATTACTAGGTAGAGTGAGATAAGAAAGGGTATTTTGGCAGCAAGGAGCAGGGCACTTTAACTCAAACTGGGCAGTGGAAGAAGTCAAAAAACACTGAAAGAAGTTCCGAAGAATGAGCAGGAGTTAAGCAGAGTGGAGGAAGCCCTACAAGGGTAAGAGCATGGTTTGTTCAGAGCACTGCAAGTGTTTTGGTGTGGTCCACATGCAAAGCTTATAGAGGAGCAGGGAGAGGAAGGCAGGAGACAGGAAGTGAAGGGTCCCATGTACACTGGCTTACTTGTTGAGTTGGAGAGCTATTACAGTATTCCTCCTCTGCTAAGCTCAGCCTGCGTTCATGGAAACCCTACTGCAACTGGCCCATTATGCATACAAAGCTGGAACTGAGATGTGAACAGGTTTGCATTGCCTTGATCATCTTCCCTGGGAAATACAGCTAGGCCCACGTGTTGGTAGGAGCTACTGACATGTTAAAACTAGGTTAAACTGAATTGGAAGTAACAATTTATTTGGAATCATGACTGACTGATTCCATTACATGTTCTAGCATGATACCAGTTTGAGGTTATTCCCCTTGAACCACCAACTTAGTATGAGTTTAATGCATAATGTGATGGTCTTAGTTCCTTGTACTGTTTTTCAGTAACAAAGTTGTTCAACTACCAGTTAAGTTTTTTGGGCTTTCTCAGTAGTGATAATAAATTTGTATTGATCTATGTACACCTTTTGGACTGAACACCTTGGCAATCTTCGATATTTTAAGCCTGCAGAAAGTGCCCATGGGATGAAACCCACCCACTGGCTCACAGTAAGTTCTGATCCCATGATTTTGGTCTCATTAATACTGTGCTGTAAATAAAATGAGCTAAACCTTTTGAAACTGCATAAATATGAAATAATTGTGTGTTTGGGGCCAACATTTTTCCTAAACAGTCTCTGACTGACTGATCAGCATTTTAAATTAGGTGATGTAATGTAGCTTTTGTACATAGAAATAAGAAACTGATTTTTATGTCCCATTACTAAAATAGTATAGGGAGGACATAATCCTTTATTTCTTCATAAGTCAATGTATCTTCATTCTCTACTATGAGCAATGAAAAGTATACTAATTTTTCATTGCTCATAGTAGAGAATGAAGATACATTGACTTATGAAGAAATAAAGGATTATGGTGATCATATGAAAATGTGATTAAAGAGATTATTACTAGAAGAAAAATTCAGGCTGCTAATTATGAGAAAAAACATGTATATACAACCAAACAAATCACAAAAATGAAGAATTTCTAAAACCATGGAATAGGAATAAATATACCTGTCATATTAATAAAAGTAAACTTACCTGTAAATAAAGGCCAAAATGTCAGCCAACACTAATTGCATGTTATAAGATTCAGAAAGGTTGAGCAAAAGTAAACCAGGCAAACACAAACAAGAAAATGAGTTGTAGTCTGCCTATCAGGCAAGGTTGAACTTAGGGAGAAGAACTGAAAGAAAAAGAAAAACACTACATAATGCTAAAGGGTGTGACTCACGAGATATGATGTTTCTAGATATCTGTGTACCGAATAATGGAAAACCATTTATGTATTGGAAACCATAGGAGACACAAGAAGAAACAGAACATAATGCTAAAGGGTGTGACTCACGAGATATGATGTTTCTAGATATCTGTGTACCGAATAATGGAAAACCATTTATGTATTGGAAACCATAGGAGACACAAGAAGAAACAGAAATACAATGTTAGTTGGATATTTTAATTCAATTCTGTCAGTTCATGACAGATCAAGTAGATGAAAAACCAGAACATGGGATGATTTAAATAAGATACGGAAGATCTAGTTGATACATCTCAGACTTTACCCTAAAAATGGTAACTACACTTTAAAGTATCCATGAAACATTTCCCCATTTGAGTGTATGTTAGAATATACAGAAAACATAAGTTTCAGAACAGAGAAAAAAACAACAGATGGCATTTTCTGATAAAAACGCAATAAATTAAAGCCAGAAAACACTACTCATCTGCAATCCAAAATATCTTTAAGCTCTTCAGCTATTCTTGGGTTGATTAGGAAATGCAAAGCATTGAAAAACATTATTTCATAGCTAAAATATAAACTTATTCCTCTGAGATACAAATAAAGCAGTGCTCTGAGGAAAATTCATAGCCCTAATATTTGTGTACTAAAAAATAAGATAAATATTATATAACTCAAAATATTAGGAAATGGAATATTTTAAAAGCAGACTAAAAGAATAAAAAGTTAGAAAAATAGGGAAACCAAGCTAATTTTAAAAATATGTAATAAAATATATAACATTTTAGCTAACATTATGACAAGAAGGCAAACACAAAATAAGAATTACCAGATACTGAATAAATAAAAGCCATAAAACATACTTTGCTCAACCCTATGCAGACAATTTAAAATCTTGGACTAAATGGATAATTTTCTAGGAAGCTATAATTTGCCAAAAAATGACTTCAAAAGAAAGAAATCTAATATAACAATTGCCATAGAAAAAATGAAGTAAGTGCTATTTCAATTAGTGCGGCAGACTTAAAAGACCCTACCAATGAAAACAATGAAATGCATTTGGAAGATTAACAAAAAACTTTTTTGTAATACTAATTTTTTGTTGTACTTTTTAAAGCATGGAATGGAATTTATTGTAAAGTCATGTATTTTATAGAATCCAAGCAACAGCCAATCAGCCAGAGATAAAGTGAGGCCAGCTCAGGGAATGTGACCAGTGGTAATTTTCCACTGGTGTTCCATGTTAGTGTGACACAGAGCCCCCTCTCCACATTCTCTGGGGCTCTTGATCAAAAACCTTAAAAAAAAAAATAGATTAGACTTAACAAAAGCTGCAAAAATAGATTTCCTGTGTGCCCTTCTCTCAGTTTCTCCTAATGTTAACTTACATACCTGGTACAATTATTGAAACTAGAAAATTAATATTGGTATAATTCTATTAACTACATACTTTATTTGAATCTTAGCAGTTTTCCCAGTAATGTTGTTTTTCTGATTCAGTATTCAATCAAGGATGCTTATGTACTTGGGTTTTTCTGGGTTTTCTATTCTGTTGCACTGGTCTACTTGTGCATGGTACCACACTCTTTTAATTATAGACTTTATAGTATGTTTTAATGACTGGCAAGGCTAGTCCCCCTTATAATTTTTCATATTCATTGTGCTCCTGGCTATTCATACATGTTTGTTTTTCCCTATGAACTTTAATATCAACTTGTCTAAATTCATTTTTGAATTTAGGTAATTAGATATTTTATTGATATTATATGACATTAACTGGTTTAGGGAGAACTAACATCTTTAAAATGTGAAGTCATCCTATCCAAGAACAGGGATTGTATTTCCGTTTATTCAAGTCTACTTTTGTGTCTTTGCAGCAGTGTTTTAAAATTATTCTTGTATAGGTTTTGTGCATTTCTTGCTAAGCTTATCCCTAAGTATTTATTTGCTAGTAAATGAGATTTCCTCTGCCATTGTCTTCTAACTGGTTATTGCTCTCTCTATAAAAGCTACTGATTTTGTAAGCTAATGTGTCTTGCTACCTTACTGAATTTTTTAAAAAATTAAAGAACAGAAATTTATTTCTTATGGTTCTACAGCATGGGAAGTCCAAGATCAAGGTGCTGGCAGATTCAGTGTCTGGTGTGGGCTTGCCTTCTGGTTCATAGATAGCACCTTCTAGTTAAGTCCTCACATGGTGAAGGGGACTAGCTAGCTCTCTGGAGTTTCTTTTATAAGGGTATAAATCCCAATCACCAGGACTCCACCCACCTAATCTAATGACCTCCCAAAGGCCCTGTCTCCACTACCAACACTTTGGGGGTTAGGATTTCCAGCTGTTTGGGGGGACACAAACATTTTACCATAGCAGTCAGTAACAAACTCTTTTTGTTTTGCAGCCAAAGGTCACTCAATCTTTATCTTCTTACCTTAGTATAATCTAAACCCTAAAGCCATGAAATGCATGGGAAAGGTTTTTTTTTTTTCTTTTTCTTTTTCAACTTTTATTTTAGATTTGAGGGATACATGTGCAGGTTTGTTACCTGGATATATTGCAAGATGCTGAGGTTTGGGGTATGAATGACCTGTCATCCCAGGTATTGAGCATCCTTACAGAATTCTTTTACTTTTGGAGTTAGTTTTATTATTGCTCCTCTAGAATTAAAAAAAAATTATTTCTAGATGCCCAGAAGAATGACAAGATATGAAAAAAATCTATAGAAGTAAAAAATGACATGAAAGCTTAAACCTGGGAAAGCAAGTAAGACAAAACCCATCTTTTACCTCAAAGATATCTACTAAGCCCTAATTACCCTGAGCCTCTGTTGTGCTGACTGAGATGGGTGCAGAAGGTAAAGCAGGGCCTGCTCAAGGCAGGAAGTTTAATCTGAGATATCCCACAAAGTGGCTACCCTCTAAGCGCTACCCTTACGGGGTAAAGGTAAACAAGCCACCAAGCAGAAATAACAGCAAGGAAACTTGCCTCTCTTGACCTTGGCCCTGGGTGGAAGGAAAGGTGTTCCTCTCCCACCAACCTAAAAATGTTCAACAAGTTGTCCCTTATAGAGGGTTGTGGCTCAGATTTATACTACTTGTATGGTGCAAAATACTACACAAGGACATTTAATTTACAGTAGACCCAAGTCAACTGTAACCCCAGATAACTGCTAGAAGCAACCACAGGTTCTCTCGGGAGGAATGAGCCTTCAATCCAGGTATCAACTCTCACAGAAAAAGTTACGAATATGAACAACTTTAGCCAATAAATTTGAAAGTTTAGACAAAATTCCTAGAGAAAAGAGTTTATCAAAACCCAATCAGGAGAAATAGAAAGTTTGATTAGTCCTTAACATTAAACAAATCTAGTAAGTAGTTGAAAATCTGGGACTCTGTGTACTCTGTGCGGAAAGATTTTATGTGATCCCCAAAATGCCGTCAGTTTTTCTTCTGAAGCTTGACACATTGTAAAGTTCATTTGGAAGAACAAATGAACAAGACCAGCCCAAGGAAACCCTGAAAGAGAGCACCTTGGTAGGAGGAGGACTGCTCCTACTACATATTAAAACATAAAGCCTCAACTCTGAAAGTGTGGTATAGGTGCCTGGCATAGATCAATGGAACAACATAGAAAATTTAGAAACAGACCCAATTGATACGAAAATTCAGGATACAATAAAGGTGGTGCCCTGAGTCAGTGGGGGAAAAGATGGATTATAAAAATGAATAGTGTTGAGATAACTGGATATAGTTATATAGCTACATGTAAATATATAGCCGTACAGGAAAAAATGGATCCGTTTCTCACACAATGCCAGGATAATTTTCAAATAGATGAGAGGTTTAATTGTACAATTTAAACTATGGAAGTACTAGAAAAAAAAAATTTCTCTGTGGAAGGGGTCAGCAAACCTCATGGCCTGTAGCCCAGATCTGACTGATCCATGGCCTATTTTGGGCTGCTGCAAGCTAAGAATGGTGTTTTGTTTTGTTGTTTTTTCCATGTTTAAATTGTTCAGTAAAAAAAGAGGAGACCATGGAACAGAGACTTTATGTGGTTGCAAACTCTAAAATATTTACTATCTGAACTCTTTTTTTTTTTTTTTTTTTGAGACGGAGTTTCGCTCTTGTTACCCAGGCTGAAGTGCAATGGCGCGATCTCGGCTCACCGCAACCTCCGCCTCCTGGGTTCAGGCAATTCTCCTGCCTCAGCCTCCTGAGTAGTTGGGATTACAGGCACGTGCCACCATGCCCAGCTAATTTTTTGTATTTTTAGTAGAGACGGGGTTTCACCATGTTGACCAGGATGGTCTCGATCTGTTGACCTCGTGATCCACCCGCCTCGGCCTCCCAAAGTGCTGGGATTACAGGCTTGAGCCACCGTGCCCGGCTTATCTGAACTCTTATATAGAAAAGACTGTGGACCCTTGCTTTGTAACCTGGATTAGCCATTGCATAATCATGCCATGGTGGGCTGACCTCTGCTCTTAGTGTCTCTCATCTCCTTGGACCGGTACGAAAATATACTCCACTCCTTTGGTAGAAGGGAATGTAAATCCATATGGCAAAGGATGGGGATATAGGAAATGGAAAAGTTTTGGGGCCAATAATGTACTCTTCCACACTACATACTACTAAAAATTTAGATGCAATAAGAGATATATTTGACTGTGTTTTTAAAAAATCTTGCATGCATATGTACAGTAAGCAAACTAAAATACAAGTGGTAACCAAGAAACATGGTTGCAACTTACATCACAGATTATGGGCTAATATTCCTAATTTATAAATAACATAAAAGGAATTTCCTGTAGACCAGTGTGGAAGAGATATGAGCAGACAGTTCACGGAGAAAATTCAGATGTCTCTCAAACATATGAAAAGACACTCAACTTTCCATATAGTAAGTTGAATTTCATAGCAACCTAATGAGTAGATATTCTTATTATCCCCACTTAAGAGGCAAGGAAGATGAATCATAAAGATGTGAAGTATTATGCCTGAACACAAAAACCTAGGAAGTAATGGTGCTAGGATTTGAACCCAGTCAGGCTGGGTCGAGATGAAAGAGTAATTTACTATGACCAAATTAGGCTTATTTCAGGAATGCAAGGATCATTTAATATTAGGAATAGCTGGGTGTTTCCTTAATATGATAAAATATATTTATCTTAATCCAAAGCCTGCATCGTGCTTAATTGGGAATACCAGAAGCAATTTTATTAAAGCCAGGAACAAGAAAAAGATGTCCACTAATTATCCCTATTATTTAAAAATGTTCTATAGAACTTAGGTGAAACAATTAGACAAGTGAAAGAAATTAAAGATACAGAAATGAGACGAGAAAATTACAATTTTCAGATGATACTGAGTTTTTTACTTAGGAACTAAGGAAGACTAACCAGACCTTACAAAATAAGAATTTAATAAATTAATTTTCAGAAATCAATAGCTTTTTCATATACAATGTCTAATTTCAAGCTATAAGGGAAGAAAAGGCCCATTTTATAATAACAGCACAAAACATAACATATTTAGAAATAAACCCAAATATTATTTGTAGGAAACGTTAAAATGCTAATGAGAGATAAAAACAAGACTCGAACAGGAAGATACATCATGTTCTTGCATAGAATTACACAGTATCAGGCCTGGTGCGGGGGTTCATGCCTGTAATTCCAGCACTTTGGGAGGCCAAGGTGGGTGGATCCCAAGGTCAGGAGATCAAGACCATCCTTGCTGTCACAGTAAAACCCCATCTCTACTAAAAATACAGAAAATTGTTGAGCGTGGTGGCATGCATCTTGTAGCCCAGCTACTCAGGAGGTTAAGGCAGGAGAATCGCTTGAAGGTGGGAGGCGGAGGTTGCAGTGAGCTGAGATGGTGCCACTGCACTCTAGCATGGGCAACAGAGCAAGACTGTCTCAAAAAAAAAAAAAAAAAAAAGAGAATAAGCAGCATCATAAATATATCACTTCTCATAAATCTAATGTGATCCTCAGTAAAAATACCAATAGAATTGAAAAAAATTTACTAAACTCATTCTAAAGTTTATATTAAAAAAAATAATGATGGAGACCACTGGCTATCAAAATTTACACATCTACTGCAGTTAAAACAGTGTAATAATTTGTGAGTAGTCACACAGATGAGTGGAACAGAACAGAAATATATCTAAATATTTGTGAGAATTGAGAATATGATAAAGGTGGCTTTTCAATCAGTGGAAAAAAGATTAGCAATTCATTCAATCAGCAAATGGGGCGGCAATTATTGGATAGAGCTCTGGAGAAAAAAATTAAGTTGGGTCTATACTTCACTCTTATACCAGGACAAATGACAGTCTAAAGATTTAAACATAAAAAACAATACTTTCTCTTTCTTATATATATATAATTGCATTTTAGGTTTTGGGGTACATGTGAAGAACATGCAAGATTGTTGCATAGTTACACACATGGCAGTGTGGTTTGTTGCCTTCCTCCCCATCACCTCTATCTGGCATTTCTCCCCATGTTATCTCTCCCCAACTCCCCACCCTCTGCTGTCCCTCCCCTAGTTCCCCGACAGACCCCAGTGGGTGATGCTCCCCTCCCTGTGTCCATGTGTTCTCATTGTTCAACACCCGCCTATGAGTGAGAACATGCAGTGTTTGGTTTTCTGTTCTTGTGTCAGTTTGCTGAGAATGATGGTTTCCAGGTTCATCCATGTCCCTACAAAGGACCTGAACTCATCGTTTTTTATGACTGCATAGTATTCCATGGTGTATATGTGCCACATTTTCTCTGTCTAGTTTATCATTGATGGGCATTTGGGTTGGTTCCAGGTCTTTGCTATTGTAAACAGTGCTGCAATGAACATTCGTGTGCATGTGTCCTTATAACAGAATGATTTATAATCCTTTGGATATTAAACCCAGTAATGGGATTGCTGGGTCAAATGGAATTTCTATTTCTAGGTCCTTGAGGAATCGCCACACTGTCTTCCACAATGGTTGAACTAATTTACACTCCAACCAACCGTGTAAAAGTGTTCCTATTTCTCCACATCCTCTCCAGCATCTGTTGTCTCCAGATTTTTTAAT